CACTCCCAAATCTCAGTGGCTTGCAGCAGTAACATTTATTTCCCACTTGTTGTGGCCAGGTTGGCTGCAATTTGAGCTTAGCTGGGTCAGCTGACCTAGGCTGGACTCCCAGCTTCATGTCTAAAATGGTCTAAAATCACCATTTTAGGACCTTGGCTGAAGGATCACCAGCTACCTGGGACAGGGCATGCTCTTCTCTTGGCAGAGGGTGGCTGGTGGAAACTTGCTTTGCCTCTTAAGGCCTCAAAGGTGGGGCATTGCCATCCACCCACATTCTGTTGATCAGATCAAGGCACTTGGCCACACCTGAAGTCTGTAGGGTGGGTAGAACACTCCCATAGGGTTTACCTAACGAATCCCGTAGACTGGGGATTTGAACAACAGAAATTTACGGTCTCACAGTTCTGGAGGCTGGAAGTCTGAGATCAAGATGTCAGCAAGGTTGATTTCTTCTGAGGCCTCTCTCCTTGGCTTGTAGATGGCTGTCTTCTTCCTGTGTCTTCATATGACCTTTCTTTTGTGTGTATTTGTGTCCTAATCTCTTCTTATAAGGACATCAATCATACTGGATTACAGCCCACCCTAATAACTTCATTTAACCTTTCGTTTCTCTGTCTCCAAATACACATTCTGAGGTACTAGGGCTAGGACTTCAACATATGAATTTTGGGGCACACAGTTTAGCCCATAATATGTGATAAGGGTGGGAAACAAAGGAAGAATTGTAGACAAAGAATACCCTAAGCACAGCCCCAGTGCGACTCAGCTTTCTCATCTTTAAACAGGGATAGGCATCTCTACGTTCTGGGTTTGTTGGAGATTGAATGAGAAAATGCATGTGAAACATGGTGGTTGAGGTAGTAGGGATGGGTGTGGTTCTACCTCAGATGGAAGGACCAAAGTAGCCTTCTTGGCCTCTCCCCCTATTCTCTCATGTGGGTGAGCTGGGATTGCATGATGGTCCTCAAAATGGCCTGACTTCCATAGCAGCTGTCCGATTGGTAGACTGTTCATAACAAAGAGAAAAAGGCCTTTCGGGTATTCAAGCTGTGGCCTTGGTTTTGGTAATCTATGGTTTTCCAGCCATGAGCTATGGCTCTAGCATCCTTCCTTTACCACAAATATTTATCGAAGTCCTTTTATGGCTTATTAGAGCTGTGGGATTCATATTGACATAAGGCATGGCATTGATCTTGACGAATTGTAGTTGAATGCCTATGAAAAAAAGTAAGAGAGCCAGGAGGTTAAAGGGCAGGGTGTACCTCTGTCTGCCTCGGTGTTCAAAACCAACTGCCTTACACTTTGTAAATCTCCTTTTGGTTTTCTCCCCTAGAATATCGTGTTAAGGAATGGTTCCGAGACTTTTGACTCCTGGAGGAAGCCCCCTCTGCCCGTGTACTCCCAGTTCTATTTCTTCAATGTCACCAATCCAGAGGAGATCCTCAGAGGGGAGATTCCTCGGTTGGAAGAAGTGGGGCCCTACACCTACAGGTGAGTCCTGACCACCTCCCTGCCATAGCAACCAGAAGTATGGAGTGTCCCCCCTTCCCCCCAGGTTGGGTCCTCGTCTCTTCCCATGAGCATCCTCTGTGTGCTGCATGGGAAGCACAGGTTTTGGCTACCTCTGTCTGAAATGTTGCTGGTGTGATACCACAGCAAAGAATGGCTTTGTGGATGGGGCCAGTCTCAGCCTGTGTTGTTTAGAAATGCAGCTGCTTCCTCCTGAGTTGGCGGAATGTGGTTACTGAGTGCTGAAGAGATACTCCCCACTGTCTGCCCTTTTAAGGTCGCCCTTTGATTTTCTTTGGTGTCTTTTAGGGTCTTTCCCTAATTCCCTTCCCCACTTAGCTAGTTTTAGACCAGTTCCTAGGATTCATTGTTTGTCTGCAGACAGGCCTTTCTGTCTCCTTTTCTTTTTTTCGTTGAGGTATAGTCAGTTTACAATGTTGTGTCGATTTCTGGAGTACAGCACAATTCTTCAGTCATACATGAATATAAATATATTCATTTTCATATTATTTTTCACCATAAGCTACTACAAGGATTTGAATATATCTCCCTGTGCTATACAGTATAAACTTGTTTATCTATTTTATATGTATCAGTCGATACCTGCAAATCTCGAACTCCCAGTTTATCCCTTTCCACTCCCCTCCCCCTGGCAACCACAAGTCTGTTTTCTATGTCTGTGAGTCTGTTTCTGTTTTATATATAAGTTCATTTGTCTTTTTTCTGTCTCTTCTTATTCACTCCTTTCCCCACCCATCCTGAGTACAAGAGATAACCAGGTGGCGGGGTGAGTTAGAGTCTTTGGCAGTGACCACCAATTCCAAATGCTGGTGAGTTAGGAGAATTGCTTTAATCATTTTTTAAAAAAGATTAAAAGGAAGCTGTTGGGGATCTTATGGTCAGAGTATTTTTTCTACTATTGCCCTACCCCCAAGGGCAATAACCTCCCCAACACCTCTTGCAATAATCTTTCCAATAAAGTTTCTCCTTAACAGATTTTTTTGGGGGGGCAGGGTAATTAGGTTTATTTATTTATCTATTTATCTATTCATTTTTTAATGGAGGTACTAGGAATTGAACTCAGGACCTAGTGCATGCTAAGTACACACTCTACCACTGAGCTATACCTCCCCACCCCTCTCTTTACCAAGTTTAAAAAAAAAATAGTAGAGGAAGCAGACAGCAAGATCTTTCTTCTTCAGAGCTGCCACATGCTAAAAATACCTCACAATTCTGTCCTAACTGGTTGCTCAATAAATGGTTGCTCACTGACTCATTCATTGTGAATTAGTGCTATCTCAGAGCTGGAATTCTGAGATAAAAATCCTGGCTGCTGCCTCAGGTGTCCATGATCTGACTCTGGAGTTGAATGGCCTGTTGTGACTCTCACCTCTGCCACTTACTAGTTCTCTGTGTTTCAGTTCCTCAGTTCCCTTATCTATAAAGTGGGGATAAAAATAGGACCTCTATCCTGTAATTGTTACGAGGACTGAGTGAGTCAGTGGGTCAGTATTTATAAAGTGATTAGGCTAGTGCCCAGCACATATTTAGTGCTAATTAGTGTCTGATGTTATTATTAGTGGATTGTCTTAGCCTCTGCAAATCAAGACCCAGAATTGTGAAGATGAGCTTTCTTGCTGTATGGTAGAATTAAAAAAAAAACAAACTTGGATCCTCATTTTAAAAAGCATTTTTGTATGTTTAATGCCTAAAGAAACACTGTGTACTGGGTAGAGCAGGTCTGCATTAGAGGCTGTCCAGCTCAGGGACAGTTAGAAGTTGAACCAGAATTAGGATCTGAGTGCCCTGTTTGTTGGTTTGTTTTGCAATTTTAACCATTTTTTATGGTGATTTTCAAAAACTCCACATATAAAATGTACCATTTTTACCATTTTTAAGTGCAGTTCAGTAGTGTTAAGTATATTCACAGTGTTGTAAAACAGACCTCCAGGATTTTTTCATCTTTCAGACCTGAAACTGTATAGCCATTAAATAACTCCATTTTTATCCCTCCCCACTGCCCCTAGTAACTACCATTTTACTTTGTTTCTATGAATTTGACTGCTGTAGAGTTCTCATATAAGTGAAATCATACACAGTATCTGTCTTTTTGCTGGTTTTGTTTTTTAACTGAATTCCTTCTGGTAAGTGGGATGGCTGCCTCCTTTCAAGAATGAACTCACCTGAGAACTAAAGAAAAACCCCAGCAAACAGTTCTCCTCCTGGGTCTCCTGGGCCTGTTCCTGTGGTCATTATCCTCATCTCAGAAAAAGGCCTGGGTTCTACTCAGAACCCAAGGAAACATAGTATTCCATTAAGACACCTTCTGGGCCATTGTGTCTGCTGGCTTAATGCGCTGTCATAATGTGGTTATGGGAATAAATGAATCCTAGGAATGAAACAATATCTGACTCTTACCCCGCTCCCTGCATGTCCCATCTTAGAGGGACCTCAACTGACTCCTGAGGAAAGCCTGGGAACACCTCACAGGGATTCTTAAGCCTTGAACCATGATCCTAAGGGATCCACTGATAGAATTCAAGGTTCTCTGTGACTTGGGGAAAAAAATTACAGTTCATCTTCATTAGCCACACACTAAAATTTAACATTTCCTTTGAGTGTGAAAATAGGCAACAGATCACAGCAGTGTTAGCAGTACAGTGGATTCACCACTAAAGGAAACAGATACTGTGTCTCTTGATAGCTGTTGCTTGAAGTATCATTCATGCTCATTAATATTTCAAAATTACAGTCATTGTTAGACCTGCTGCTGCGTCTCATTTAGAATCAATAAAGAAGCACACATATTGCCATATCACAGATTTTTACAATGACACCTGCAGTTTAGTAATTGTTTTCCTTTGTAACCCTAGGTATTTTATTTTCTGTGTGTAAAAACATTTATGTAAGAAAGAATCCATCAGATTGACACAGGGGCCCATGGCAGAGGGAAGGTAAAAACCCTGACAGCAGATCCTGTAGGTTGGAAGACAGGCTGGTCACTCACTGTTTCATTTTTGCCTCCATGAGTTTTCCTGCCTCCGGTTTTCTCCCTGCCCTGGTCTCTCCCATTCTGCTGCCACTGTGGTATTCCAAAGCACATTATCTGACATTTCCTTTCTTCCCTGCTCAGGGTTCTAGTGACTCTCCCAGTGTGATGTCCAGGGCCTGAACAGTCTGGCTCCTTCTGTATGTCTAGCCTCTGTTTAATTTTAATTTTAATTTTAATTTTAATTTTAATTTAATTTTTTGGCACTCTAAACCTAGAATTTTATTCTCTAACCAAAGCCAATTTCATACTCTAACCACAATTATCCAATAGAAATTTAATATGAATGTCAACTTAAAACACACACACACACACACGCACGCACACACACACACGCATGCACACACACACACCGTAAAAGCTGAAGCAAGTTTATTCAGTGTCTTACTGAGAACTGTAGCTCAAGAGAGGGCCTCTTAGACAGCTCTGAGAAATTGTTCCAAAGAAGTAAGGGAGGAGCCAGAATATACATGAATTTTTTTGTGGGAAAAAGAAACATGTAGTCAAAGATCAAAAAATTACTGCTACTCACAAGAACAGACATTCCAAATTAATAATCTTAGTGCTTTTCCATGTGTGGAAAGATGCAAGAATCTGGGATCATTGAACTATTTACTTAAATATACATCTTAACTATCTAAGGGCTGGTATCCAAAGCACAGATTGCTTCCTGTTTTTCTGCATCCTGAATTCCCCTCAGGCTCACTGTCAGTAGGCACACATGTGCTATAACTGGATTTGTCCCATATGATCCAGCAATCCCACTCCTGGGCTTATATCCAGAAAAGATGAAAATTCTAATTCAAAAAGATACATGCACCCAATGTTCATAGCAGCACTATATATAATAGCCAAGACGTGGAAACAACCTAAATGTCCATCAACAGTTGAACAGATAAAGAAGATGTGCCATATATATATATATATATATATATATATATATATATATGCAGTGGAATATTACTCAGCCATAAAAATGAAATGTTGCCATTTGCAGCAACATGGATGGACCTAGAGATTATCATAATAAGTGAACTAAGTCAGACAAAGACAAATATCATCTGCTATCACTTATATCTGGAATCTAAAAAAGTAATACTAATGAACTTATTTACAAAACAGAAAAAGACTCAGACATAGAAAACAAACTTATGGTTGTCAAACGGGAAAGGGAGTGGGGGAAGGATAAATTAGGAGTATGGAATTAACATAGTACTACATATAAAATAGGTAAATAACAAGGACTTACTGTATAGCACAGGGAACTATATTTAATATCTTATAAAACCTATAATGGATAAAAATCTGAAAAATTATATATATCTATATATAGATATATATAGATATCTGAATCACTTTGCATATACCTGAAATTAACACAATATTTTGAAGCAACTATATTTCAATAAAAATAAAAAATTTTAAAAACCTTTAATTTCTAGTGAAAACTAGATAGTAAGCTATTATGAACTTTTACATTAGCATTCTGTAGATTGGCAAAATTATAAATACCATTGATGATTGTTTTAAACATGTGCCTTTTTATGGAAAATTTTTCAATGTGTACCAAATATATTTATTAATGATCCTAAATATCTTTAATTTCTCTGTAAAAGAAAGCCTATTTTCAGTAATTAATGCTTCAGTATCTTACTTTATTTGGGATGATTTAGATATTTAATACATTTCTATCATTTAACTTAGCAAAACTATAAAGTTTCAAGTTACCAAAAATCTGGAGAAACTAATCTTGAGTAGACATACCATGAAACATAGTAATTCTTAAGGAGTTCACTGAAAGGCTCTTACCCCCAATTTTATCTATTTAATTCATTTGTTCCTAACAGTTATGTTTAGATTACCCATGAAAACTTGAGGAGACATTAGACCAAATCAACCATCATCCCAGGCTATTTTTCTTGCTCATAAATTT